TTTTCCTTCTGGCCTGTTGGCATTTAAAAAAAATTATAAAAACCTTCAAAATAATTAGTTTCAACCAGACAATTAATTTCTTGGAGGTTGGACTCGGTGCTGCCCCAACTTGTTGCTCACCACATACCAAAATAAATAGTTTTTCAAGATGATGCAAAGTTAAATGTGTCACTGTTACCATTAGTTATAAAACTAAGAGAATTAAGTCAAAGTTTTCATCCAGAATTGTAGAAAAATGTTCCTTTAACAGAGTAGAGCAGTAAAGCTTCTGGCTTTAACAGTTTTTCCTGCATTACTTTTACTTTTATACTTTAAGTAGTTTTAAAATTGCTCCTTTTACTGGAGTAAAAAGCTGAAGTTGATCCTCTAACTTCTATAAAAGTGTTTTTAAACAGCAGGATTTATACTGGAGGAATAAAGATGAACTTTGTTTACCTCTGGTTGTGACATTATGTGGGGAACATTACTAGTTGGGACCACACACCTGTATGATCCGACATATATGGAGATTGTTTAGCTCACAGACTGTGTGCTGGTTCCAGTCTGAGCCAAGAGGAAAAGGGTCACGAATCAAACACATTGTTTTCATACTGGGAGACCAGGCCAATTCCAAACTGGGACATTTCCAGCCTCAGAGGCACCTTAGACTAACTAAGGAGAGGACGGCAGGAGACGAAAACCTCCCACTGAAGAGAGGAGACTCTGCATGCAGGTCAGACAGCCTGATGGAGGCTTGCGACATCCCTCCAGTTCTTAGGTAAAACTCATGTGACGCCCAGAGCGCGGGATGAGCACAAACATGTTTCATCTTCACACCTGAGTGATGAGTAATACCCCAAACCTCTATTCCTGCATTTCTCAGATCCTAAGTCATCATATCCAGCTGTGCGTCATGATCCTGGACGTTCTCATGGGTTTATGTACATGCTGACCTCCAGCAGAGGCACCGGCTTAGACGTCTAGCAGCCATATAATCACAGCCAGGGAGGATTTACTATCAGGGAATACTAGGCAGCTGCCTAG